TTCATAAATTATCAGAGGTACGAAATTATCCAGAGACGCATTTGTCTATGGAGGCAAACGCCGAGGGATGCAATTGTCTGGTATGCAATTGTTCAGGACACAGATGTCCAGTAGTGTAAGATAGCGAGAAGAAAGGACATAAAATCAATTGCAAGAAGGCAGAATGTACGGTTCTCAACAAAAGAACAGCCCAGTCTGCTAATTATAAACTGGACATGCCAAAATCAAGCAAGTACGACAATTTAAATATCTGGAAAGTGTTTTAAAAGAGGACAAAAAGTGCAACACAGATATCCGAATGCGTAATGGAATAGCGAAAGATAACTTCCAAAAGCTAAGCAAGGTATTAGGAAACAGGAAAATTTTGTGAAACAAAGAAAAGAGTATTGAACTGTTATTCTATATCAGTCCTATATGGCATTGAATACTGGAAAATCTCCGCGGAGAAGATTATTTTCAAAATATGGCAGGGAACGCTGGACATACAGATGAAGAAGAGAATTGAAGCAACAGAAATGTGGTTCTACAGAAGGATGTTGAGAATACCATGGCCTGAACATTTAAACAGCGACGAAGTTTTAGAGAAAATGGAAAAAAAAGACTTTTATACATTACTTCGGAAAGAAACATGCAATTTCTGGGGCATATAAGAAAGAAAGAAGTTTTAGAAATTTTGACTTTCCCAGGTCATATTGAGGGCAAGAGAGGCAGAGGAAAACAGCGCATAGACTACCTAACGAGCTTGTTGTTAAGGGGTCCACCCCTTTTCATACAAGTGGACGCGCCCAGTGTGTACTTGTATTGCTGCCGGTGAATACCCGGAAGTGAAAGAGTGAGAGAGTGAGAGTGTGAGCTAATCGCTTTGTAGGAGTCACAGTTGCGAGCACGTAGGCTCAAAAGGAAGTCATACTTCGATACTGAATTTTCCAGACTGTATATATATTATTATTGCTACTAACCGCATTTCTGGATCTACTAACCGTATTACCAATTGTATTATTGCGTCAATACATTTATTTGCTATATTTCATTCCTGCGTTTGCCATTCATTTGAGAACGGATTTCATCCCGGAATTCACAACACTTGTGTAAATGCCTGACAGAATAGGGTCTAGGAGAGATAGCGAAAAGACAAAAAGAAAAAAAAATAAGAACTACAAAGTACTGGAAATTGTGAAGAGCTATGATCGCCAACGTCCTGAAGGGACATAGAAGATGAACCTCGGATAGCTACTAGGGCCATTGTCTACATCAAGTGCGTTGCTCAACTATAATTCAGCTAATCTTGAACACGAGCTAATAATTCTGTTGCATCGATTCTGTTTCATTTAGTAGTGCAATATTCACATAGGGGCCCAAACAAACCCAGATATGTGTAAAAGGAGTCCTTGAAAACAAACGGTTACGAATCATAGCATTAAACTTTTTGAAGTTTACTATTGCCGGTTACGATAATTCCCTTTCTGCTTCTTTAGAGCAATTAAAGGTATTGGTGTGCGAATTTCTATATTGAACAACTCTTTTAAAAAAAATGCTAACTTCAAAAACATGGTAAATACATTCCATTTTTGAATGCAGGAATTCAAAATTTATCTCGTCTTATAAGGAATATAATATGGCTTAAGCCAAGAATGAGCGTCTTCGAAATTGTAGAAAACACATTGCTTATGAGCAGAATACAAAGATCGTCTTTGAAAGGAATTGGAACGCTTCAACTTTTAAATGACTTATTGTCAACAAGGCACATTTCTTATTACTCATCTAAATTTTAAAACCCTTTGGCTCTTCGTTTACCCATTGCTGCCAGCCGATCTTTGGGGTTCTTTTTTTAATAGAGTACCCCGGGAAATGAAGTTGTGAGATTATTTTAAGCTACATGGAGAGATCTTACTTTCTTTTAACCAGTGATTAAGGTGGATGGGAGAATAAGGTGGAGCGAGAATACAATTGGCGGTAAATTAAGCTGAAACGCAATGGAATATTTCCAGATAACCAATTAGACGACTGTATTTGCCCTGCAGGAATCGCAAAAGAATCAATGATGTAGATCCTTTCTTTGATTTGATTTTTCTATTATTTAAGTATTTTTAAAAAAAAATGTTTTTGAACATTTTTTCATTTTAACATTATAAATTATACGTAATTATTTCCTAGTGCCCAGATATGTTATGCGTGCATATAAGTATAAATTACACACACACACACATACACACACATATATATATATATATATATATATATATATATATATATATATGTGTGTGTGTGTGTGTGTGTTTTGTGTATGTATGCGTGTGCGTGTGTGTAGCGTTATATACATTTATGAATGTATAGCTATAATTAAAAGCAAGCAATTACTCCTCTTTTTCTTTCCTTCTGCCTCTTTCTATCACATTACGGATATACCTATCTTTCTCTTTCTCCATCTCTCTCTCTCTCTCAATCTCTCTCACTCTCACCATTCTATCTCTCATATATATATATATATATATATATATATATACAGAGTGAGAGAGAGAGAGACAGACAGACAGAGACAAAGAAAGAGAGATTGAGAGTGTGTGTACTTGGACAATGAGAGAGAAAGAGAGATAGAACGTTGATTCTGATTCCGCAGAACTGGGTTGGGTGTGAAAAATTATTGTTGTTAACATTCTTTTTTCATTCGGTTTTTCCAGTTACGAGTCCTTTTTTAAAGCTGATCGTTTTGTGTTCATTTTGTTTAGTTCTTTTTTTCGTAACAGATTTAATGTTTAGTATAGAGCTTAGAATAAATTCGCAGTGTGAGATAGGCAAGAAGTAAGGCATGTAGCAACATCAGCACGGCAAAGGACACTCCTTTAAAGGCAAGGAAAGGAAAAAATATTTTAAGTCAAGTGATAGCGATTGCTGTATGAGTCGTACGATTTTTGAATCAAGCACGGGCAACGCCGGGCCATGCTGCTAGTAAACACATAAAAATGACATGTTGCTCATTTTCGGGTACATAGATCTGCTAGGTTGGCTAGCTAAATCTGTACTAAAAAAACCCTACTCAGGCACATTTATATTTCTTCATCTGTGTTGAACGGATCTTAGAGGTTCTCGGGGAAAGCTTATAATCTGGTATTATCAATAGTTGAGCAACTCCAATGCGCTCAAAGCTCTCAGTCTCTTGTGACGTCTTGCTAGCACAACCATGGACGTCTTCCGAACAAGGACATTCCAACGTTCATGCACGCGGGGATCACTGCATCAGACTGATATTCTTAAGAGGTCATCTCCTCGACAAATAGACCATATGGTCCGACCGCTAACGTTCTTATTACTCGGCTACATGAACATATCATTTCAAGCATAATTTATTAGCGGAAATAAAATTGGCAATCGATTTAATTTTGCTAAATCATAAAGGAAAACCCGCGCTCTTTACACAAACATATCTATTTCGGTAATAATCTGAGACAAGAAAAACTAATGGAATTTGAGCTGATTCCTCGACTGAAATGACATGCAATCGATTCACACTTGCCGCACTTCGGTCAGTTTGATTTAATCTGACAAAACGACTGCAGAAATAAACGTTAATTCAATACATTTATCGAATTTGCTTCGTCCCTCTCGAGGCTTTTATTACGCCACCTCAACAGGTTTATTTTCCAAAAATAACACCGCTGATGCCCTTCGGGAAACTTGACAGGTTAACATATAGAATACAGAGTAAAGAACGATTTTCGACGACAGGCTAGAAGTGTTTTCATAAATAGAATAAAATGAAGATAATGAAAAGGAGGGAGGTTGGAAAAAAGAAGTTTTACTTACTCGTCTGCCATAGAAAATTTTGAAAGAGCGATAGAGAAAGTAAGAAGCAAAATAAAATAAATTCTCTATGATTACGAAAATCACTTAATTATAGTCCGATTTTACAAATAATCGTGAAAATATCATTCGACGCTTGCCTTGAGCAAGAATTCGCTTAATCCGAGCCACTTCAAGCTTTTATATTATTCTCTATGCAAAATATATCAGAAGAATCTAAGCTTTCTAAATAATTTCAACGTTTACCTTAGTGCCATGGTTACCAGGCTTGTCTCGAAAATCAGGGGATGGGAGTTATAAGACAAGGATGTGTCTTCTCACCGGACTTATTCAAAATTTACAGTGTGGCGATTTTAAGAGAATTAGAACTACAATCAGGATTCATTGTTGAATCATAACAACATAAGATATGGAGATGACACAGTACTGATAACTGTGTCAGAAAGAAAACTACAAGATCTCCTGCAGAAGGCAGTGAAGGAAAGCGAGAAGAAAGGACTAAACATTAGTTGCAAGAAGACTGTGTGGCTGTCAGTAAAAGGAACAGCCCGACGTTCAAATTATATAGCTTCTTCTTTACATGCCGTGTCCTCTAAGGACATAAGCGAACATGACTCCCCACAACTTCATGATCCTTCTAGCACTTAATAAATTTTAGTGTTAGTTGGTGATGTCGTCGCAGAAATTGCCTGACAGCCATAACTGGGTTCTCCCGCTTATGTGGCATGGGGAAGACTCCTATTGCTGGACATATCGTTTTCCAGCAGCCACCATTATTACCCAGGGCACCACTACTTCATAAAAGCACTTGATGTCGGCCTCCGTGTTTAGTCCGAGGCCCGCATCAAGAAATTCGGGAGTTCTCTTCTTATAAGAACGATCAGAGATAGTTTTCGAGTTGCCGTACCTTCGTCACCACCATTAGACTCATCCAACTATTTCCTAATACTCTGCTCTGTTCTCAAATTGACACTCAAATACTCTGAAATGCCAAGCAGTGCAGTATACCTTTTCGAAATTTCTGGCGAAGCGAAATGTGTCATGGTGCTCTTTTTCTCACAGAATGTACACAACTGACCCTACTATACCGTGTAGTCAACAAAACCAAAACCAAACAATGCGCATGCGTGAAATAAAAAATATAAAATGGCGGCAATTTACTTATCGGTCCCTATATTTATTTCAATTTCCCGCGCGACGGTATGGTGCTTTTTACGATACGTTTCTTTTTTTCTTTTTTTCTATGTCATGTTTCTCCGGGAAGTTGGCGATCGTAGAATTGGTTGAGTAGTCCCCAAAAAATAGAAAGAAGCTTCAGACAAGGACATGTCTTCTCCTCAGATTTACAGTGACGCTATCCTAAGAGAACTGAAGATGCCAGCAGGATTTATTATCTTAATATACGCAGATCACGCTATGATGACGGCTGACTCTGAAAGAAAACGACATGACTTCCTGAACGGCGTAGTAGAAGAATACGATAATATCATGTTGTTCTTATTCTATCTGAGCTGCCCCTCCCCGACATTTTTCTGAGGTTTGTAACGCTTACTAAATTCTCTGAATATATGTTAACTTCAAGTGGCTAAAGTGAACTTATTGTTCAAAAGGTATATTATGCGTTGTTTTCCTCTGTTTATATGACCTTCGATCTGATCTGTGAGGATCTATTTTTGAAGCCCTATTTCATCGTTATGTAAACTAGAAATTTCAACAGTATCTTCCGAGTGATAAGTCTAAATATTCATTTTATTTCCATTGTCTACAAAACTTCGACGTTGCTCACATGCTCGGTCCATGGTATTCTCAGCATCTTTCTGTATCACAATATTTCTGTTGCTTCAAGTCTTTTCTCCTTTTGTGAGGATATTTTCCAGCATTCCCTGCCATATTTTGAAAATAATCTTTTCCGCGACACGATTATTATCATTCATTTTTTTTTTTTTTTTTTTTTACGGTTTTCAAACGTTCGTCTGAGCCTGGTATCTTAATTCGTGTATTGAAACGTTTCACCTCCCCGGCATGACTATTTCAGGCGGCACTTGTATTTCGTTCAAAAATACGTCAACTTCTCTATGAGACATGAGCTCGTAGCCTCAGCCCCGTAGGTTTTGTTGCTGTAGTTTCTGTAGCAAATCATTTTTAGCGGTGAAGTTACTAACCCTACGTCCAACCGGTTTTTAATTCAAACGTGTCCTTCTCCTAGACAAGCTGACAACCAAGATTAGGGAGCCTAATGTTCCTTGCTATTAAACCCCAGGTA